TCTATCTACCCTCAAACACAGCGGTGTGCTGTACTAGTAAGGAATTGTCCACGTTCTATTTACCCTCAAACACAGCGGTGTGCTGTACTAGTAAGGAATTGTCCACGTTCTATTTACACTCAAACACAGCGGTGTACTGTACTAGTAAGGAATTGTCCACGTTCTATTTACCCTCACACACACTGCTGTGCTGTACTAGTAAGGAATTGTCCACGTTCTATTTACCCTAGAACACAGCGGTGTGCTGTACTAGTAAGGAATTGTCCACGTTCTATCTACCCTCAAACACAGCGGTGTGCTGTACTAGTAAGGAATTGTCCACGTTCTATTTACCCTCAAACACAGCGGTGCGCTGTACTAGTAAGGAATTGTCCACGTTCTATTTACCCTCAAACACAGCGGTGTGCTGTACTAGTAAGGAATTGTCCACGTTCTATTTACCCTCAAACACAGCGGTGTGCTGTACTAGTAAGGAATTGTCCACGTTCTATTTACCCTCAAACACAGTGGTGTGCTGTACTAGTAAGGAATTGTCCACGTTCTATTTACCCTCAAACACAGCGGTGTGCTGTACTAGTAAGGAAATGTCCACGTTCTATTTACACTCAAACACAGCGGTGTGTTGTACTAGTAAGGAATTGTCCACGTTATATTTACCCTCACACACACCACTGTGCTGTACTAGTAAGGAATTGTCCACGTTCTATTTACACTCAAACACAGCGGTGTGCTGTACTAGTAAGGAATTGTCCACATTCTATTTACACTCAAACACAGCGGTGTGCTGTACTAGTACGGAATTGTCCACGTTCTGTTTACCCTCAAACACAGCGGTGCGCTGTACTAGTAAGGAATTCTCCACGTTCTATTTACCCTCAAACACAGCGGTGTGCTGTACTAGTAAGGAATTGTCCACGTTCTATTTACCCTCAAACACAGCGGCGTGCTGTACTAGTAAAGAATTGTCCAGGTTCTATTTACCCTCAAACACAGCGGTGTGCTGTACTAGTAAGGAATTGTCCACGTTCTATTTACACTCAAACACAGCGGTGTGCTGTACTAGTAAGGAATTGTCCACATTCTATTTACACTCAAACACAGCGGTGTGCTGTACTAGTAAGGAATTGTCCACGTTCTATTTACCCTCAAACACAGCGGTGTGCTGTACTAGTAAGGAATTGTCCACGTTCTATTTACCCTCAAACACAGCGGTGTGCTGTACTAGTAAGGAATTGTCCACGTTCTATTTACACTGAAACATACTGCTGTGCTGTACTAGTAAGGAATTGTCCACGTTCTATTTACCCTCAAACACAGCGGTGTGCTGTACTAGTAAGGAATTGTCCACGTTCTATTTACACTGAAACATACCGCTGTGCTGTACTAGTAAGGAATTGTCCACGTTCTATTTACGTGACACCATACCAATTGGTTGGCGGGTTTAACGGCACATTTGTATTGAAGTGATCTCACCCAGAAAATAAAACCGTATGGATATATAACTGTCTTGGTACGAAGCGTACCAAATGCCACTAGGTTTTTATTTAAATTCTAGTATGCATTATCTCCACTAGGGTGCACACACACACACATATACATTGTACCCAGGTTTAATGATATCTTATCGCAAAGAGGAAACATGCTCTTTGGTTCTTTCGGTAAAGTCACGTAGGTAATCAAATAAAATAAATGACGTTTCGATTGTAACACAAGCGTCCATCATCATCATTGGGAAAACCACAGCAAGAATTGCGTGGACGCTCCCCTCCCCCTACCCCCCTCTCTTACCGACACTGTATAACCTACATTCTTAGTTTTTTCGGTAAAGTCACGTTGAAGAGAAACAACAAAATAATAAAATATATATAAAACAATAAAAAATTCTCACGACGTTTCGACCATAACTCAAACGGTCATCTTCAGGTGTTTATGCAAACCAACACACCTGAAGATGACCGTTTGAGTTATGGTCGAAACGTCGTGAGAATTTTTTATTGTTTTATATATATTTTATTATTTTGTTGTTTCTCTTCAACGTGACTTTACCGAAAAAACTAAGAATATGAATTACTGCAGTCATGAAAGCTTTAAATCAAAACTGTATAACCTCTTACCACAGCATCTCTCTCCCACTTCATCAAATAAATGTTCTTGCTGTGTCCTGACTGTAGTGAGTGTCAAGGCACGTGCATGCTGGGTGTGTGTTCACTGTCATCAGGAAACGTTTATTAAGAAGTCTGTTTACTCTTTAATTCAGCAGGACGTGTTTATTTAAAGTTGCGCATTTTGACGTGACGTCACATTTCTCAAACACCCCCCCCACCTCCTCACACATCGTCACAAATGTCTGACCTCTCCCCCACCCCCCCAGCTGGGTTACGTCATTTATGGACGGCCCCTTAACACATGTTTCAGCTATCATTTGTATTACCATACTCATTCTATCTACGAAATTCATTATATTACCTATCCAGACTAGGATTTAAAGTCTGAATCTTATCCTGGCTATCATTTGTATTGCCCGACTTATCACGTCTATGATAAGCACTAAACAGCCCCGCCGTGACTGAGAGGGACAATACGAATATCTTAGCACTGTGAGAATCACTGCAGAGCTTACGTTAACTAGAACCGATAACGCTCGCGATCATTCATCAATCAAGCGATACGTAAGGTCTAACTTACACACGTTACGACTAAGCAAAATGGGCCTCAATTCTGGCAGCCCAAACAAATGAACAATTTCAAACGCAGCAAAATCGTCAACAACTATTTAATACTTATTTAAAACAATTAACAAATAAGTGTACGCGCAGACACACACACAGACACACACACAGACACACACACACACACAGACACACACAGACGCACACACACAGACACACACACACACAGACACACACAGACACACACACAGACACACACACACACACAGACACACACACAGACACACACAGACACACACACAGACACAGACACACACACAGACACACACAGCGATCAAACCCCTAACATCGATGCGCTAGCCATGCGGATCGTACGCCCAGAGAGAGACGAGACATCGCCCTGGAGAGAGACGCCGCCACCACCCATCATCGCCCTCCTCCGTGTTCGCGTGAATCACCTTCGCCACCTTCGCCAATTTCGCCACCTTCGCCACCTTCGCCACCGTCGTCGTCCACACCGCCGCCACGTCCGACTAAAGAGTTTCGTGGGGGGCAACGGCAACCGGGGGGGGGAGGATTGGGGGGGGAGGAGGAGGGGGGACAGCCCCCCAGGACCTGGGCAGCTCTCCCTCACGCCAAAAACAAAACCTTCACTCGCGACGTCGTCGCCATCGCCGCCAACGACCGGGACGTGACGAGAGTGGCACGCGGACGAGGGGGACCCACTACCAGGGTCCCTCTACTGGGGTCCCCCTACCAGGGTCCCTCTACCAGGGTCACTCTACCAGGGTCCCACTACCAGGGTCCCTCTACCGGGGACCCTCTACCAGGGTCCCTCTACCAGGGTCCCTCTACCAGGGTCCCTCTACCGGGGTCCCCCTACCAGGGTCCCTCTACCAGGGTCCCTCTACCAGGGTCCCTCTACCGGGGTCCCACTACCGGGGTCCCTCTACTGGGGTCCCACTACCAGGGTCCCTCTACCGGGGTCCCTCTACCAGGGTCCCTCTACCAGGGTCCCTCTACCAGGGTCCCTCTACCAGGGTCCCACTACCAGGGTCCCTCTACCAGGGTCCCTCTACCAGGGGTCCCTCTACCAGGGTCCCTCTACCAGGGTCCCTCTACCAGGGTCCCTCTACCAGGATCCCTCTACCAGGGTCCCTCTACCGGGGTCCCTCTACCAGGGGTCCCTCTACCAGGGGTCCCACTACCAGGGTCCCTCTACCAGGGTCCCTCTACATGGGGTCCCACTACCAGGGTCCCTCTACCAGGGTCCCTCTACCAGGGTCCCTCTACCGAGGTCCCTCTACCAGGGTCCCTCTACCAGGGTCCCTCTACCAGGGTCCCACTACCAGGGTCCCTCTACCAGGGTCCCTCTACCAGGGTCCCTCTACCAGGGTCCCACTACCAGGGTCCCTCTACCAGGGTCCCTCTACCAGGGTCCCTCTACCAGGGTCCCTCTACCAGGGTCCCTCTACCAGGGTCCCACTACCAGGGTCCCTCTACCAGGGTCCCTCTACCAGGGTCCCTCTACCAGGGTCCCTCTACCAGGGTCCCTCTACCAGGGTCCCTCTACCAGGGTCCCTCTACCAGGGTCCTCTACCAGGGATCCCTCTACCAGGGTCCCTCTACCGGGGTCCCTCTACCAGGGGTCCCTCTACCAGGGTCCCACTACCAGGGTCCCTCTACCAGGGTCCCTCTACCAGGGTCCCTCTACCAGGGTCCCCCTACCAGGGTCCCACTACCAGGGTCCCTCTACCAGGGTCCCTCTACCGGGGTCCCTCTACCAGGGTCCCACTACCAGGGTCCCTCTACCAGGGTCCCTCTACCAGGGTCCCTCTACCAGGGTCCCTCTACCAGGGGTCCCTCTACCAGGGGTCCCTCTACCGGGGTCCCACTACCAGGGTCCCTCTACCAGGTCCCTCTACCAGGGTCCCTCTACCAGGGACCCTCTACCAGGGTCCCTCTACCAGGGTCCCTCTACCGGGGTCCCTCTACCGGGGTCCCTCTACCAGGGTCCCACTACCAGGGTCCCTCTACCAGGGTCCCTCTACCAGGGTCCCTCTACCATGGTCCCTCTACCAGGGTCCCTCTACCGGGGTCCCTCTACCGGGGTCCCACTACCAGGGTCCCTCTACCGGAGTCCCTCTACCAGGGTCCTACTACCAGGGTCCCACTACCAGGGTCCCACTACCAGGGTCCCACTACCAGGCCTCTACCAGGGTCCCCCTACCAGGGTCCCACTACCAGGGTCCCTCTACCAGGGTCCCTCTACCAGGGTCCCACTACTAGGGTCCCTCTACCAGGGTCCCTCTACCAGGGTCCCAGGGTCCATCTACCGGGGTCCCTCTACCAGGGTCCCCGCTAGTCTGAGGCGCTAGTCTGAGGCGCTAGTCTGAGGCGCAAGTCTGAGGCGCTAGTCTGAGGCGCTAGTCTGAGGTGCTAGTCTGAGGCACCAGTCTGAGGCGCTAGTCTGAGGCACTAGTCTGAGGCACTAGTCTGAGGCGCTAGTCCGAGGCGCTAGTCTGAGGCGCCAGTCTGAGGTGCTAGTCTGAGGCACCAGTCTGAGGCGCTAGTCTGAGGCGCTAGTCTGAGGCGCTAGTCTGAGGTGCTAGTCTGAGGCGCTAGTCTGAGGTACTAGTCTGCGGCGCTAGTCTGAGGTGCTAGTCTGAGGCGGTGCCCTCGTGAGGACCGCTCCTGCGGCTGCGCTTGCTGGGAATCTCCTCCTGGCTGCAGCCCTGGAAAGGGAGGGGGTGGGGAGTTACCCACACACAGAGACCCAAAGACTCACCACACATAGAGACCCATAGACTCACCACACACCGAGACCCATAGACTCACCACACACAGAGACCCATAGACTCACCACACACAGAGACCCATAGACTCACCACACACAGAGACCCATAGACTCATCACACAGAGACCCATAAACTCACCACACACAGAGACCCATAGACTCACCACACATAGAGACCCATATACTCACCACACACAGAGACCCATAGACTCACCACACACAGAGACCCATAGACTCACCACACACAGAGACCCATAAACTCACCACACACAGAGACCCACAGACTCACCACACACAGAGACCCATAGACTCACCACACACAGAGACCCATAGACTCACCACACATAGAGACCCATAGACTCACCACACAGAGACCCATAGACTCACCACACACAGAGACCCATAGACTCACCACACACAGAGACCCATAGACTCACCACATAGAGACCCATAGACTCACCACACACAGAGACCCATAGACTCACAACACACAGAGACCCATAGACTCACCACACACAAAGACCCATAGACTCACCATACACAGAGACCCACAGACTCACCACACACAGAGACCCATAGACTCACCACACACAGAGACCCATAGACTCACCACACACAGAGACCCATAGACTCACCACACACAGAGACCCACAGACTCACTACACAGAGACCCATAGACTCACCACACACAGAGACCCATAGACTCACCACACACAGAGACCCATAGACTCACCACACACAGAGACTCATAGACTCACCACACACAGAGACCCATAGACTCACCACACACAGAGACTCATAGACTCACCACACACAGAGACCCATAGACTCACCACACAGAGACCCACAGACTCACAACACACAGAGACCCATAGACTCACCACACACAGAGACCCACAGACTCACCACACAGAGACCCATAGACTCACCACACACAGAGACCCATAGACTCACCACACACAGAGACCCATAGACTCACCACACAGAGACCCATAGACTCACCACACACAGAGACCCATAGACTCACCACACACAGAGACCCATAGACTCACCACACACAGAGACCCACAGACTCATCACACACAGAGACCCATAGACTCACCACACACAGAGACCCATAGACTCACCACACACAGAGACCCATAGACTCACCACACACAGAGACTCATAGACTCACCACACACAGAGACCCATAGACTCACCACACACAGAGACCCATAGACTCACCACACACAGAGACCCATAGACTCACCACACACAGAGACCCACAGACTCATCACACACAGAGACCCATAGACTCACCACACACAGAGACCCATAGACTCACCACACACAGAGACCCATAGACTCACCACACACAGAGACTCATAGACTCACCACACACAGAGACCCATAGACTCACCACACACAGAGACCCATAGACTCACCACACACAGAGACTCATAGACTCACCACACACAGAGACCCATAGACTCACCACACACAGAGACCCATAGACTCACCACACACAGAGACCCATAGACTCACCACACACAGAGACTCATAGACTCACCACACACAGAGACCCATAGACTCACCACACACAGAGACCCATAGACTCACCACACAGAGACCCACAGACTCATCACACACAGAGACCCATAGACTCACCACACACAGAGACCCATAGACTCACCACACACAGAGACCCATAGACTCACCACACACAGAGACCCACAGACTCACCACACACAGAGACCCATAGACTCACCACACACAGAGACCCATAGACTCACCACACACAGAGACTCATAGACTCACCACACACAGAGACCCATAGACTCACCACACACAGAGACCCATAGACTCACCACACACAGAGACCCATAGACTCACTCACACAGAGACCCATAGACTCACCACACACAGAGACCCATAGACTCACCACACACAGAGACCCATAGACTCATCACACACAGAGACCCATAGACTCACCACACACAGAGACCCAGAGACTCACCACACACAGAGACCCATAGACTCACAACACACAGAGACCCATAGACTCACCACACACAGAGACCCATAGACTCACCACACACAGAGACCCATAGACTCACTCACACAGAGACCCATAGACTCACCACACACAAAGACCCATAGACTCACCACACACAGAGTCACAGCATTACCGTCCGACACCAATGAGGTAGGGGATCGTTTCGCTGGACAGACAAACACACGCACACTTACACACAAACACACGTACACACACACGTACACATCCACACACACACACACGTACACACAAACACACACACATACACACAAACACACATACACACAAACACATACACACACAAACACATATACACACACACACACGTACACACACAAACACGCACACATACACACAAACACACATAAACACATATACACACACACGTACACACACAAACACGCACACATACACACAAACACACACACACGTACACACATACACACAAACACACGTACACACACGCACAAACACACGCACACACACGCACACGTACACACGTACACACACACAAACACGCACACATACACACAAACACACATACACACGCACACAAATACACATACACACAAACACACGTACACACGCACACACATACACACATACACATACACATGTACACACACACCACGCATCGTGACGGTGCCCTCACCAGGTCAGCCAGCAGTGGAGTGAACTTCCCACTGCTGCTGTTGCCGCTGCTGCTGTTGCTGTTGTTGTTGCTGCTGCTGCTGTTGTTGCTGGGTAGCTCCTCGGTGCCCGGCCCTCGTAGAACCTCGGTTCCACTCCTGGCCAGGGCTGACGCACGGACGGCGCCACCACCACCACCACCAGCGACCATTCCTCCTCCGCCGGCAACGAGCACGGCGCCGGCGGCGCCGTCGGCACCGAGCCGGGGCGCCGGCGACGCCACCGACGGGCACAGCCGCGCCACCACGGCGCTCACGTTGTCGGCCTTGGTGCCGAGCCGGTGCCAGCGGGACAGCGCCTCCGCCACCAGCGCCTGCGCCAGCGTCAGGTCTACACCGCTGCTGCTGCTGCTGGCACCACCGGCACAACAACCGGCACCACCAGCAGCACAACCACCGGCACCACCAGCAGCACAACCACCGGCACAACCACCGGCACCACCACCAGCACAACCACCGGCACCACCACCGACATCACCACCACCACCACCGGCACCACCACCACCGCTGGCCTGCAGGATGAGACGTGTAAGTGCATGTAGACGTGTGTGTGTGTAGATGTGTGTGTGTGGATGTAGACGTGTGTGTGTGTATGTAGACGTGTGTGTGTGTATGTAGACGTGTGTGTGTGTATGTAGATGTGTGTGTGTATGTAGACGTATGTGCGTGTATGTAGACGTGTGTGTGTGTATGTATAGTGTGTGTGTGTAGACGTGTGTGTGTGTATGCAGACGTGTGTGTGTGTAGACGTGTGTATGTAGACGTGTGTGTGTATGTAGACGTGTGTGTGTGTGTATGTAGACGTGTGTGTGTAGATGTGTGTGTGTGGATGTAGACGTGTGTGTGTGTATGTAGACGTGTGTGTGTGTATGTAGACGTGTGTGTGTGTATGTAGATGTGTGTGTGTATGTAGACGTGTGTGCGTGTATGTAGACGTGTGTGTGTGTATGTATAGTGTGTGTGTGTAGACGTGTGTGTGTATGTAGACGTGTGTGTGTGTATGTAGACGTGTGTAAGTGTATAGTGTGTGTGTATGTAGACGTGTGTGTGTGTATGTAGACGTGTGTGTGTGTATGTAGGCGTGTGTGTGTGTAGACGTGTGTGTGTGTGTATGTAGACGTGTGTGTGTATGTAGACGTGTGTGTGTGCATGTAGACGTGTGTGTGTATGTAGACTTGTGTGTGTATGTAGACGTGTGTGTGTGTATGTAGACGTGTGTGTATATGTGTGTGTATGTAGACGTGTGTGTGTGTATGTAGACGTGTGTGTGTGTATGTAGACGTGTGTGCGTGTATTTAGACGTGTGTGAGTGTATGTAGACGTGTGTGTGTGTATGTAGATGTGTGTGTGTATGTAGACGTGTGTGCGTGTATGTAGACGTGTGTGTGTGTATGTATAGTGTGTGTGTGTAGACGTGTGTGTGTATGTAGACGTGTGTGTGTGTAGACGTGTGTATGTAGACGTGTGTGTGTATGTAGACGTGTGTGTGTGTAGACGTGTGTGTGTGTATGTAGACGTGTGTGTGTATGTAGACGTGTGTGTGTATGTAGACGTGTGTGTATGTAGACGTGTGTGCGTATGTAGACGCGTGTGTGTGTATGTAGACGTGTGTGTGTGTAGACGTGTGTATGTAGACGTGTGTGTGTATGTAGACGTGTGTGTGTGTGTGTATATATAGTGTGTGTGTGTATGTAGACGTGTGTGTGTGTGTAAACGTGTGTGTGTGTATGTAGACGTGTGTAAGTGTATAGTGTGTGTGTATGTAGACGTGTGTGTGTGTGTATGTAGACGTGTGTGTGTGTATGTAGGCGTGTGTGTGTGTGTAGACGTGTGTGTGTGTGTATGTAGACGTGTGTGTGTATGTAGACGTGTGTGTGTGTGCATGTAGACGTGTGTGTATGTAGACGTGTGTGTGTATGTAGACGTGTGTGTGTGTATGTAGACGTGTGTGTGTGTATGTAGACGTGTGTGTGTGTATGTAGATGTGTGTGTGTGTATGTAGACGTGTGTGTGTGTGTATGTAGACGTTTGTGTGTATGTAGACGTGTGTGTGTGTATGTAGACGTGTGTGTGTGTATGTAGACGTGTGTGTGTGTGTATGTAGATGTGTGTGTGTATGTAGACGTGTGTGTATATGTAGACGTGTGTGCGTGTATGTAGACGTGTGTGTGTGTGTATACGTGTGTGTATATGTGTGTGTGTGTATGTAGACGTGTGTGTGTGTGTATGTAGACGTGTGTGTGTGTATGTAGACGTGTGTGCGTGTATGTAGACGTGTGTGAGTGTATGTAGACGTGTGTGTGTATGTATGTAGACGTGTGTGTGTGTATGTAGACGTTTGTGTGTATGTAGACGTGTGTGTGTGTATGTAGACGTGCCCGTGCTCGCTGCTGCTGCTGTGCGTCCGCACGATGACAGAGCGCCACGGCCTCTGTGGGCGTGAGGACATCCCAGACTCCGTCGGTGGCCAGCACCAGGTAGCGGTGGTGCCCTGGGTCCAGCCTGTAGGCGCTGACGTCCGGCTCGGGGGAGACCACAAACTGGGCGCTCGCAAAGTCGTAGCTCCAGAGGTCCCCTGTGGGATATCGCCAACACACACACACACACGTACACACACGTACACACACACGTACACACACACGTACACACACATACGTACACACACACACGTACCACACACACACACGTACACACACACACGAACACACACACACACGTACACACACACGTACACACGTACACACACACACTCACACACGTACATACTCACACACGTACACACTCACACACACGTACACACACACACGTACACACACGCACACGTGCACACGTACACACACACACGTACACACACACACGTACACACTCACACACGTACACACGTACACACACACACGTACACACACACACGTACACACACACACGTACACACACACGTACACACACACACGTACACACACACGTACACACACACACACGTACACACACACACGTACACACACACACGTACACACACACACGTACACACGTACGCACACACATACACGTACACACAAACGTACACACACACACGTACACACACGAACACACACACTTACACACGTACACACACACACGTACACACACGTACACACACACACACGTACACACACACATGGACACGTACACACACGGACACACGTACACACACACGTACACACGCACACACGTACACACACACGCACACACGTACACACACACGTACACACACACGTACACACACGTACACACACACGTACACACACACACGTACACACACACACGTACACACACGTACACACACTCGTAAACACACACGTAAATACACCTATGCGTACACACACATATACATGAACACACGTTTCACAACAACTGCCATTCGCCATTAGGTGGCGATGACATAACCAGGGCGCCTGTGCCAGGCTACGTGCACTTTTAACGCCAGATGAAGTGTCGAATGCCCGCTGGCAGGAGGTCGCCAGGAGGTGCCACGGGTGTGTATAGGTGTGTGTGTGTGTAGGTGTGTGTGTAGGTGTGTGTAGGTGTGTGTGTAGGTGTGTGTGTGTGTAAGTGTGTGTGTGTAGGTGTGTGTGTGTAGGTGTGTGTGTAGGTGTGTGTAGGTGTGTGTGTAGGTGTGTGTGTAGGTGTGTGTAGGTGTGTGTAGGTGTGTGTATAGGTGTGTGTGTAGGTGTGTGTAGGTGTGTGTGTAGGTGTGTGTGCCGGACGGGCAACTCTGTCGTGGACAGTGCTGTGGGGGGAGGTCCAATTTTGATTGGCTCCTCTACATACACACACAGGGGCTAAACGGGGGCTCTGGATGGATGCGAGGGGCTGGTAACCCCTCCACCTTCAATTAATTACCACTAAACCACGAATTAAGAATATATAACTAATAAGCTTGTGCCGGAGGCCCCGGGAGGCCAGGCGTCTATGACGTCTCCTGGCCAAACCCCAATTGGCGGAGCCAGGAGATTGAATATCTACCCTCGGGGCTCCTCCAGAAACAACGAAAAACCACTACGGGTGGCCACGTGGAATGTTCGAACACTCACTGCGGAGGAGAGGCTGCCACTCCTCTGTCGGGAGCTGGACCGGTACCGCCTGGATCTATGTGGCATTCAGGAGGTCCGGTGGACCGGCTCTGGCTCCTGCCACTATGAGGGGTGGACAGTCCTCTACTCGGGGCAGCAGACTGCCAAACAACAGGGTGTGGCTCTTCTTTTGAACAAAAGAATAAAGGGGCGTGGGAACATGGCGGTGAGGTGTGGGAAGCTGTAAGTCCCAGGCTACTTTGGGCTCGCCTTCCCATCAACTGGAGGCGAGGAATGGTGGTCGTGGTTACTTATGCCCCCACCGAAGATGAACATCCGTGGAGGGATGCAGGCAAAGCCGATGAGTCAGATGACTTCTATGACCTCCTGTCACAGGTGCTGGCTAAAGTGGCCCCTCGGGATAGAGTCATCATGTTGGGTGACTTCAATGCCCGAGTTGGTCATGATACTGGCACCTGGTCTGGAGTGATTGGAGGGCATGGGCCAGATCAGCTCAATAACAACGGTAGAAGGCTGCTAGATTTTTGTGCAGCCCATGGGCTAGTAATTACCAACACGCTGTTCCGGCATCGGCGCATCCACACAACATCATGGATGCATGCCGAGTCCAAGCAAGAACATCTGCTGGACTAGATAGTGACGGACCAGCGGATGCGAGCCCATGTCCTTGACACCAGGACCTACCGTGGAGCTGATCTGCCTTCTGACCATCCGACTAGTCATCTGTAAGATGTGCCTGCTATTCTTCAACTCCGGTGGTGGGTGTACACCCAGGACCCCATTCCAACCTAAAGTGGCCTGGTCTCAGTTATCTGATGAAAGTTGCAAGCGAGAATTTCATCATCGCTTGCGGCTGGGATTGGCATCGTCCCCGACTCCTCCTGATGTCGAGGGTAAATGGGCGAGGTTTAGGACTGTGACTCATGCAGCTGCAATGGCTGCTTTGGGTACGCGGTCCAGACCTCCCCAGAGACCCTGGCTGACAGAGGAGGTGTTCAGGATGGTTGAGAAAAAACGACAGGCCCACTGTCATCAGTTACAGAATCCCATGTCAGAGAATGAGGAGGCTTACCGCAGCCTTCGCTCGG